GTGAAAGTAGAAATAATTTTGGGTGATTTAAGCAAAGGACAAATTATTTCTCTGGTGGAAGAAGATGCGGGGGAGAAAAAATAAAAATATTTTGCCGATTTCCCTATTTTCATTCGGGGAATAGACAGAAGAAAATAGATGCTTTTTTTGGTTGGCTATCTTTAAAAATCTTTAATTACAAAAAAAATTATATAATTGTCATATAAATGTTGATTACTATCAAAGAAATTTACCAAAACTTTCAGGAATTAAGCAAACTAGAAAAAATTGCGGTTGGTGGCTGGGTAAAAACTTTTCGACAAAACAAGTTTGTTGAACTTAATGATGGCTCCTGCTTACAGAATTTACAAGTTATTTGTACTCCAAATTTACTCAAAGAACCAGAGGAAATTAATCGTGGTAGCAGTTTAATAGTCAGCGGCAAGTTAATCTTAACCCCTGAAAGAAAGCAAACTTGCGAATTGCGAGTTGGAAAAATTGAATATATTGGAGTCAACAGTTTAAGTTATTTAGAAAGCCCAGTTTTTCCCTGAATCAACAGCGGTGTTCTTACTAATCTCTATTTCCTAACTGAACACACTTCACCTAGCAAATTAATTAGTGACAAAGCCAAAATTGAATGTCAATTACCTTCTGCCCAACCCCAAACTGTCCTCATTTCAGACATTGACCTTAATCCTACCAAAATAGTATGGATCAGTCCGCGAACCGTTGGAGGAAAACATGTTTGACAACTTTTAGGAACGGATGTTTGACAACTTTTAGGAACGGATGTTGACAAAATTGAAAAAAATGCTTCTCTTTTTTTTTCTTTAAGACAAATCGATTTTTCTCGCTATGCCAGCGGTAGTATTATTAATCACTTGCGAGGCTCAGAATTAATGAACTTAGAAATTTCTTGAATAGTCAATAAGTCTGCTCAAACCCGCCTCCTGCTCCTTCTTAATTCTCCACTAGCGAAAATCAAAGATTTGCATTCACAAATCAAAGATTTGCTGCTTTTGAAGTATTTTTAGGTTAAAAAGTTAATATATGACTGTTCCCAAAGAAAAAGAAACCGTCTTTTCCTTTCTCGAAAAATTAAAAGAATTAAATTGATTTTATTTTGATAACCTTCAACGAGATAATCACCAAGAAGTTCTTGATCGAGGAAAATTGTTTAAACAACTCCAGGAAATTAATCCCTATCAGGCTAACAATGTAATCGACCAAGTTATTGAAAAATTACTTGACCCTCAACTTGATAACCAACAGTTTTTGAATTATCTTCATAGCGGTGTCACTATTCACATTAATGGAGAAAGCCATTGAGTTCAACTAATCGATTTTCGCCAGCCAGAAAAGAACAAATTTCGTTATCTTCCTTCACCCTATTTTCCTCTTTGTAATCAACGCGGCACTAACCTTTATCCAGACTTAATATTATTCGTTAATTATTTACCATTGGTAGTTTGCGAATTCAAGGACTGAGGAAAAATGGATTGAAGAGAAGAAGCCTACCAAGGAGGAAGTGGTGGTAGTATCGAAAAATATGCCAGAGAACTTCCTCAACTTTTTCGTTTCAATGCTTTTAATGTCTTGAGCAATGGTCGAGATTACCTAATTGGCACAGCCACTACAAAAAACGAATTATTTACTTATACTCCTTGAAGGTGAGAAAAATACCGTCATAATATTTTCTTTCCAGCCGTTTTTTGCGACGTTTTAGAAAATTTTTTAGTTTTTACTAAGCACGAGAAAAATAAAAGAATTATTCGGTATCACCAATATGCTTGTTTGCAAGAAGTGCTAAAAATTATTTCGCAAGACAAGAGCAGAGGAGGAATAATTAATCACACTACTGGCAGCGGAAAGTCTGATACCATGGTGTTCCTAACTAAAAAATTACGCCAAAGATATCAACAATGTACTATAATTATTATTACTGATCGGCAGGAATTAGACCTCCAATTACTTCACCGATTTAAAAACTACGAGGATATTTTTTTTTCTTCTCAAGAGTTTATTGTTATTATGAGTATAAGAGATTTGAGAGAAAATTTAGCCAAACCTAATTTAGGAAAAATAATTTTTGTTTTAATTCAAAAATTTCAAACTCGAGAATTTCAAGAGTTACCCACCTTTCATAATTCAGCGGGAGTATTTATTTTTATTGACGAATATCATCGGTCGCAAAACCTGGAAATCAGAGAAGGGGATAATTTAAGTTGAAGTTTAGAAATGCGTAAATCTTTACCAGAAGCCTTTATATTTGGATTTACGGCGACTCCTAAAGAAGAAACCTATCAAAACATAATTCACAGTTATTCGATGGACGATGCCTTGCAAGATGAAGTTATTGTCAAAATAGTTTATGAAATTTACCAGTATCTGGATCTAAACAAAATTAAAAAAAATCTCTTTCTCCCAAAAAGTGTTTTGCCAAGTTTACAAGTTAAGGGAGAATTTTTTAAAAGAGATTATGAAAATTTTTCTCTTAATAACCAACTAAATTCCCGACCAAAAGTGATGTACATTGCTCAAAGTATTCCCACCGCACACGAATTTTATAAATATTTATCCCAAGACCCCCAATATCAAAAAAACATTTGCTTAGTTACTAGTGCCCAAGAGAAAGAAGAAGAAAAAACTAATATTTATCAATTTAAAAACACTGACTATGTTAATATTGCTATTGTGGTTGACAAATTGACTACTGGATTTAACTTAGAAAATTTGCAAAGAATTTATTTAGACCAAAAGATTAACTCTCCGCATCGCCTTTTTCAAAAAATTTCTCGGGTCAATCGAAAATATCCTCACAAAAATTTAGGCTTTGTGATTGACTTGGCTGATAACAAAGAAGTTTTGGAGGAAACTTTATTAAAATATGTTGGTAAAAGTGGTGGAATTATTAAAATTAGCCTACCCGACCTTCAACCGATTTGAAACAAAATAGAAAACTTCTTAGCCAACTTTTCTTCTCGAACCGAATTTTACCAAAACCTTTTTGAGCGGGAAAAAATTCAGGATTTTGATTTTACCAACCAAGTTCTTGATTATTGTTATCAAAAAAGTGAAAAAGAAAGAAAAGAATTTTATTTAGAGACCAAAAACCTCCGACAAATATTAATTTCCCGCTGATATAATCAAACCGAGACAGAAAAAAAAGATTTAGAATTTATCAAATGATGTTTTAAATTAGCTAACACGTGTAGACCGCACTCCCCCCAGCCAGTCATAAAAGGCGAGGACCGAGTAGTTAGAGAAGAAGATAAGTCAGCAAATTTTTTTGATTTTATCCAAACTGAAAGGTTCATAATTCCTGAGCAGATTAGTTCTTCTCAAATTCCTTTTGTTTATAAAAACCAACAAGAAGAAAAAATTAAACGAATAATTAAAGAATGAGAGGATTACGGATTACCAACTGAAGAATGAGAAAATAAATTAACAATCGCTCAAGAAGAATATAAACAAAAAAAAGTAAGCATTAAAGAGTTAAATGATTATTTAACTAACCTAACTGATTTACTAGTGATGAAAAATGAGGAAATTAAAAAAGAGATAGAAAAAAATGTTCATTATCCTTTAACTAGACAGATTCTTCAAGAATTATCCTTTAATAAGAATGATGACCAAAAATTCGTTTCTTCAGTGCTAAACTATTTTCTGCAACTAAACCACGCTATTCCTGATTGAAACCAACGAAAAGAAAAAAGACGAGAAGGACGAAAAGAAATTAACGAATTTTCAGAAAAATTTTTTGGAAAGGGATTAAAGAGAGAAGAAAGAGAAAATATAATTAGGATAATAGAAAATTATTTTTCTAGTAATTATTATTTAGAAAAAATATCGCAAAAATAATAAAAACTTATTATGGATAATAATTTTTATCAAAATCTTTGAAAATTACTAGACCGGCAAAGAGGTAGTATGGATTTACATAAATTTAAAGAAATTTGTTTTGACTTAATTTTTTTGCTTGCCATTAACCGTCAATTTGAACAACAAAAGGCTAAAATCTCTGCTAATCACCAAGAGGACAGTGATTATTATGAATTATGATTAGAAAAAGAAAGTCGTTGAGAAACTATTTTAGCCAACTGTCAACGGAATAATTTAAATCAAACCATTTACGAAGCTCTTAAAAAAATAGAGCAAACCGACAAAAATTATGAGAATTTAACCCACAAAGAAACTTTCCTTAATCAAAACCTAGATTTTCAAAAATTGTCTACTATTGTTAATGATTTCAATAATTTTTTTGCTAAACTAGACCCGCAATTACAAATAGATTATTTAGGAAATACTTATCAATTTTTTCTTCAATGATTCGCAGCAAGTAGCGGGAGAACGGGGGGCGAATTTTATACTCCTGCCCAACTAGTACAATTATTAGTAAATATTCTCCAACCCTTTCCCCAAAAAGACTATGAAGTAGTAATTTATGACCCTTGCTGTGGAAGTGGCGGAATGTTTATTCAAAGTCAAGAATTTATTAATAAAAACAAAAAGGGTAATAATGTTTATCCTCCGCTCTGCTTAGGACAAGAAATCGACGATAGCACTTGAAAATTGGCTCGTATGAATTTGCTTTTGAATGGTCTCAATCCACAATTAGGAAATCGAGCCGAGGACACTTTTAAAGAGGATTTACACCCTAATAAGCAAACAGATTATATTATTACTAATCCACCTTTTAATATTTCTGATTACTACTGAAAAGAAGATGATCCGCGCTGAGTCGCTTATGGAGTTCCACCTAAAAATGATGCTAATTTTGCCTGAATCGAGCATTGCCTTTTTAAACTAAAAGAAAAAGGAGTAGCTGCCATTATTATGGCTAATGGCACTTTATCTGGATTAAACAAAAAAGCAGCAAATATTCGCAAAAATTTAATTGAAAATGATGTAGTGGATGCCATTATTACTCTTCCTAATAAACTTTTTTACTCTACTTCAATTGCCCCTTGTGTGTGGATATTTCGTAAGGGTAAAAAAGAAAATGGTATCCTTATGATTGACATTTCATCCGATGAATTTGGAGAAAAAGTAAGTAACAATGAAAGAAGATTAACTGAAAAAGAAATTAAGAATGTATCGCAAATATACCAAGACTTTCGTCAAAAAGGTTTTATCGAAAAATCTAATATTCCTGCCCGAGTAGTTTTGCCTAACGAGATTAGAGAAAACAATTATATTTTGGTTCCGGCTCGTTATTTAGCAAGTAATCAAAAAGATTTAACGCCAGAAGAGATTGACCAAAAATTGCTAAAAACCACTCAGGAATTAGAAGATTTAATAACTGAACAAGACAAATACCACCAAGAATTAAAAAAGTTATTAGCCGAGATTAAAAAAGAAATCGAAAGCGACGAGTAGTAATAATGAGTAAAGCAAATGAATTATTTCTTAAAGATAATTGAAAAACTTATCAATTAAGTCAAATCTGTTCCTTGCGTTCTGGAAAAACTCCCAGCACGAAAAAGAAAGAATATTGGTGTAGTCATGAGGAGGAATGTGATTGTATTAATTGATATACTGGTAAAGATATAACCCGAGAAAATTTAGAAACGGAAAGGAAAATAACCCAATTAGCGGCTCAGAAATGTAAAATGCCGCTTACCACAGAGAGTTCTTTGTTATTTTTTCATATTGAATGTTTACCCTTTCGTTCAGCCCAAACTAATACCACTTGTAACCAAATTATTTCCCTTTTAGAACCCGACCTAAAAATTGTTATTCCCAACTTTTTATATTATTCACTTTTGGCTAGCAAAAACAGGTTAAGGTCTATAAGAACCGGCAGCGTCCAAATGTTTACTAAACAAACTCATTTAGCCTCTTTCTCCCTCACCCTCCCCCCTCTCCCCCAACAACAAAAAATTCTTTCTTATTTTCAACTAGTTTATAACAAAATACACAAAACAGAAGTTCAGTATAAAGATACACTTATAAAAATAATTCAAAAACATTTAGAATTAGGAGATTTATTATTTTTAAAATATAAAGATAGTGAAATTAGAATTGAAGATGAGTTTAAGTTGGTGCGGGGGAAAACACCGCCAACTAAAATTAAGGAATATTGAGAAAATGGAACAATTAAATGACTTAATAATGGTGCTTTAACTAACTGCTATTTTCTGACCGAACATACTAAGCCTAGCAAATTGATTAGCACCAGAGCTTTAAGTGAATGTCAATTACAATATTGTCAAAAGAACAGCATAGTAATTTCTTTGGTAGAAACCACAGCAAAAAAAATGGTCTGAAATCAAACTGAAAATTTAGTAGTAGGATGCAATGTTTGTAATTTAACTAGTAATAGTAAGAGCCAAAATGCTACCTTATTTTTTGCGCTTAGGAAATTTGATTTTTTGCTATTAAGGGCGGAAGCGTGATTAATAATTTACGCAGTTCTGACTTAGTTAATTTAAAAATTTTTTGAAATTCTAACTCCAAAATCCAAACCCGCCTCCTGCTCCTTCTTAATTCTCCACTAGCGAAAATCAAAGATTTGCTGCTTTTGAAGTATTTTTAGGTTAAAAATTAAATAATAATGGACTTGCAAATAAAAAAATACAAACTAGGAGAAATTTGCTCTATTAGTGCTGGCAAAACTCCTTCAACAAAAATCAAAGAATATTGAGAAAATGGCACTATTCCTTGGTACACGCAAACTGATATATCTAGTCAAACACTCACTCCAAAAAAATTTGTCACTCTCCAAGCAGTTAAAGAACTCTCTATGCCTTTAACCACTAAAAATTCTATTTTACTTTGCAATGTTTCTGAAGCAGTTGCTTTTTATCCCCAAACGTCTTCCTTATCATGTAATCAACAAGTTTTTATTCTAGAACCAATAGAAGGTATAGTTGAGGCCAATTATTTATATTATTTGTTATGTGCTAAAAAAAAGGAATTAAATTCTCTTGCGAGAGGAACAATATTTAAAAGTTTAACCAAATCTGAACTTGAAAATTTTTCTCTTTCCCTCCCCCCTCTCCCCCAACAACAAAAAATTCTTTCTTATTTTCAACTAGTTTATAACAAAATACACAAAACAGAAGTTCAGTATAAAGATACACTTATAAAAATAATTCAAAAACATTTAGAATTAGGAGATTTATTATTTTTAAAATATAAAGATAGTGAAATTAGAATTGAAGATGAGTTTAAGTTGGTGCGGGGGAAAACACCGCCAAGCAGCGATTATCCCCTCCAAAAACAAAAACTTCCCTTAGAAGTAGTCCGTAATTATTCTCATTTGCGAGCCAAAACCAACTACTTTTTAGCACTTTTTCGCCTCCGTCATAGCATCAGTAAAGCCATCCATGATTTTTTCCACCAAGAAGGATTTTACTATGTTCCTACTCCGATTATTACCAGCAATGATGCAGAGGGAGCGGGAGAAGCCTTTACCATTACTACTGACAAATCAGAACCTTTTTTCTCGCAACCTGCCAACTTGACTGTCAGCGGACAACTTCACGCCGAAGCCTTAGCCCAAGGATTAGGTAAAGTTTATACTTTCGGACCCTGTTTTCGGGCTGAAAAATCCCACACTACTCGTCATTTAGCCGAATTTTGAATGGTAGAGCCAGAGATAAGTTTTGCTGATTTAGAAGCGATAACTAACTTAGCAGAAAGAATGATAAAATATTTGGTAAACTATGTGTTGATTAACAATAAGCAAGAATTAGAATATTTTGCAAAGTATAACAAGAAAGAATTAATTAATAAATTAAAAAAAATTACCGATGAGGAGTTTAAAAAAATTGACTACCATGAATGTATTAAAATATTAGCGAAAAATAAAAAAAATTATAACTTTTCTGATATTGAATGGGAAACAGAAGTTTTACAAACTGAACACGAAAAATATCTTTGTCAGTATTTTGGTGGTAGTCCGGTTTTTGTTATTAACTACCCTTGCGAGTTAAAAGCGTTCTACATGAAAAACAATCCTGACGGGAAAACTGTGGCTTGTTTTGATTTATTATTTCCAGAAATTGGAGAATTAATTGGGGGGGGCCTACGAGAAGATGATTACAAAACCTTACAAAAAAAAGCCGATAAACAAAATTTAGATACCGATGACTTAAGTTGATATTTTGATTTAAGAAAATACGGTTATGCCCCCAGTGGCGGTTTTGGCTTAGGTTTAGAAAGATTAATCATGTTTATTAGTGGCACCGAAAATATTCGGGATACAATTGCTTTTCCTCGGTTCCCAGGAAAATTAGAATTTTAAAAATTAAGCAAGAAAATTTTTCGCCCATTTTTAATGATTAGACAGATAAAAAAATGAAGGTTTGAGACTAAAAAATGTATAAAATTAAATTGATGTCCTTAATGGCTGGATTATAAAAGAATGAGGTAACAAAGAAACACGACACAATCCACAAAAGTAGCACTTCTCATGAATTTCTCCTGAAAATATCAAGTTCCTGATAAAGGTTGATGGGCTAATTATCGTTGGCATCTAACTGAACCAAGTGAAAATTTGGGACTAAAATCTAATGGTTGAAAACGAGCCTTTTTTCGGCAGGGTTGGCAAGGAAAAGCGTTGGAAGTAGAAGGCGTTGCAGCCGCAAAAAAATGCTTGCGGGCCTTACAAAATGGAACCGTTACCGCTTTTGGTGGCAGGTTTCGTGGAATTAGTTATGACAAAAACGCGAAGCGGATGATTAAGCAAGCCCAAAGGTCGCTAAAAGAAGCAATTAAGAAGCATGAGAAAGGAGAAAATGTTGATATTAAAGAAGTTGCTATCGTGCCTGCTTCTTATTATTGTTGGGGAGTAATTGTTGGTGGAGTTTTAATTTTTGT